TTTTTAATTTTAAGTTCTGGCAACACTGAGACCAGATAAAAATAGCAATACTTCTCAACGTACTTGGGGATGAAGCAGTGAGTATATTTAATACATTAAAACCCGGTCCAGATAAAGATTTAAAGAAGTTTGACGACGTTGTTGAGTTATTTGAAGAATACTGCATGCGAAGAAAGAATGTTGTGTTTGAGAGATTCAAATTTTTCTCTTGCGTTCAACAAGAAGGGCAGCAGGTAGACAGCTATCTTACTGAACTGAAAACGTTAGCTTCCGCATGTGGTTTCGGCAGCCAAGAAAACGACTTTATCCGTGACAGGCTGGGACTGGGAATTAGAGAAAAAGCCCTCCTAGAAAGACTACTCCGAGAGACTGATTTTACATTGCAGAAGGCAGCTGATTTTCTTAGATCAACGGAGACAAGTAAAGTTCAACTGGAAACTGTCACTGCAGCATCTCAAGTGCATGAAATTAAGCGAAATCACCCTAAAATAGCAGTTGTGCAAAAAAGCCAGAAAAGTGATACGTTTAAGTGTTATCGATGTGGGAAACACCATGCAAAAAAGAGTTGCCCTGCATTTGGCAGAACATGTGCGAAGTGTAAACAAAAAAACCACTTTGCAGCAGTGTGTAAAACAGCAAAACCTACACAAAAAAGTGTTAACCAAATTGAAAACACCTCTGATAATGCTTCTCTGTTTATAGATAGTTTAACATTTGGAAAGTGTCACGTCAATGATTCCGTTATAGAAGATAAAAATTTTAGTGTACATAGTTTAGAGAAGGTTTGGTTAACAAAAGTTGAAGTAGAAGGGTAATGACATTGAATTTAAACTTGATTCTGGTGCAGAAGCAAATATATTGCCACTTACTGTATTTAATAGCATGATATTATCTGTTGATAAAAAATTGATTGATACGAAAGTAACGTTGTTGTCATATGGTGATTTTGAGTTAACACCAAAAGGTGAAATTGATTTGAAATGTGTACGTGGTAGAGATGAAGTCTTTTTGAAATTTATTGTTATCGATGTAACATCAAAACCTATTTTGGGTCTGAAAGCTTGTCAGATGTTGAATTTAATTAAGAAGGTGCATGTGATAAATTCTTTTGATAAGGAAAGTGTAATAAATGGGAATATTGATCTCTTTAGTAACTTAGGTAGATTCTCAGGGGATCCATATCATATTGAATTAAAGCCTGATGTAAAACCAATAATTGATGCACCTAGAAGGGTACCATTAGCCATTCTTGATAAATTAAAAAGTGCTTTAGATAACCTAGAAGCTAAGGACATAATTAGAAAAGTAAATAAACCTACTGATTGGGTTAATAGTCTTGTGGTTGTGGAGAAACCTAATGGGAATCTTCGAATTTGTCTTGACCCGAGGAATTTAAATAAAAGTATAAAATGGGAGCACCATATCATTCCTGCGGCTGAAGAGCTAATTAGTAGGTTAGAGGGTAAAACTGTATTTTCTGTCTTGGATCTTAAAGATGGTTTCTGGCAAGTGCCTTTAGACGACGAGAGTGCAGATTTGTGTACATTTAATTCCCCATTTGGCCGTTATCAGTTTTTAAGATTGCCGTTTGGTATTATATCGGCACCTGAAGTTTTCCAGAAACGTAATGTACAATTGTTTGATGATATTGAGGGAGTAGAAATCTATTTTGATGATATCATAGTGATTGGTAAAAATAATATTGAACATGATGTAGCACTTAATAAAGTTTTCGAACGGGCAAAGCAATGTAATATAAAATTTAACCCTGAGAAATTTCAGTATAGAGTGAGTGAGGTTATATACATGGGACAAATAGTGTCTAAAGAAGGAATAAAAGCTGATCCACAGCATATAAGAGCGATAACTGAAATGGAAATTCCAACTGATAAAGATGGTGTGAGGTTATTCTTGGGTATGGTAAGCTACCTCTCAAAATTTATTCCTAATGTATCAACAATTACTTCTCCTCTTAGAACTCTTTTAAGGGATAAAATTGAATTTAATTGGCAACCTGAACACAATATTGCATTTGGTAAGATTAAGGATTTGTTAAGCTCTTCCTTTGTATTAAAAGTGTATAATAGTTCTAAACCTAGTGTAATACAATGTGATAGTTCTANAGTTCTAAAGATGGGATTGGGGCATGTCTTATTCAAGAGGGTCACCCAGTGTCTTATGCTTCTAGAAGTCCCACTGAGACAGAGCAGAATTATGCTCAGATAGAGAAGGAGATGTTGGCGATTTTTTTTGCTGTACAGAAGTATCATAATTTTGTGTATGGTAAAAAGTTTGTAGTTCAAAGTGATCATAAACCTTTAACAAGTATTGTTAAAAAGCCAATGTATGCTATATCTTCAAGGCTACAAAGGATGCTTCTTAAGTTGATAAAATATCAATTTGAAATTGTGTATGTAAGAGGGAGTGGGATGTTTTTAGCTGACACTCTCTCTCGAGCCTATATAAAAGATAAGGTAAATGATGACCCTGATATGCTTAATGCTGTACATACTGTCAAACAATTTCCAATAAGTAAGAGAAGAGTTGAACAATTTATAAATGGTATAAAGTCTGATCCAGTGTTAAAATTTGTTTATGATTATTGTGAAAAGGGTTGGCCAAAAGAGGCACAAAGTGTTCCTCAGGAAGTAAAACATTACTTCAAAATTAGAAATGAATTGTATTTAGAATGTGGGTTGTTACTTAAAGACTCAAAAATAGTTATTCCATCTTCTCTTAGACATGAAATGTTATTATTAATACACGAGGGACATTTTGGTATTGAGAAAAGCAAAAACCGAGCTAGGGAAGTGATGTATTGGCCGGGTATGTCAAAAGACATTGAGTTGTTAGTTTTAAAATGTGAAATTTGTCAAAAATTTCAAAAGTCTAACGTTAAAGAACCTTTAATATCTCATTCATTACCTACTAAGCCTTTTGAAAAAATAGCAATAGATATATTGAACTTTCAAAATGTAAGTTATTTAGTTGTAGTATGTTATTACTCTAAATGGATTGAGGTGATTAGGCTAGGTAGTAAAACAATTGCTGAAATTAGTAAAAAACTAAAATCTTGTTTTTCGCGATATGGAATTCCATCAGTTGTAGTAAATGATAACAGTCCCTTCAATAGTTATGAATTTAAGAGCTTCGCAAAAGAATGAGATTTTGAGTGTATTTTTGAAAGCCCGCGATATCCGAAAAGCAATGGCATGGCTGAGAGTGCTGTTGGTATTGTAAAAGCCATTTTAAAAAAAGCATTTGAAGATCGAAAAGAATGGGTAGTTGCAATTATGGAATATAGGAACACTCCTATTTCAGGGCTAAATTTATCTCCTGCTCAGTTACTATATGGGCGCAGATTAAGAACTAAAATTCCAATTCACAACAAATTGTTAAATGTTGAAGTTTTTAAAAACATTGAGAAACAGCTTGGGCAAAAACAGGATCGGCAGAAACGTTATTATCTACACTAAAAGTCGGTGATGTAGTGACAGCTTATAATTTCAATAAAATGTTTGGGAACCTGCCCGGGTTATAGAGAAACACAAAAATCCTAGATCTTATATTATTAAAACAAATTCAGATAAAACGCTGGTAAGGAACCGCATACATTCAACACCTACTATGATTGAATTTAAGTCTGCAGCAGTTCCGGACTTTGAATTTCCTGATAATTCTGGTTCTGATGGAGCAAATGTTTTGGTAGGGCCTCAGAGAAATAACTCAGACAGTTCGTATAGAACAAGATCTGGAAGAAGGGTCATTAGACCTCACTATTTAAATGATTTTATATGCAACTAGTAGTATTGTGTTTAATTTGTGAGTGAACTTTTAAAATGTATATCATTAATTTTATTCTGACTGAATTTCAAGATCTTCAAGGAGGGGTGTCACATATGTGTTTTAACTGTGATTTTATTGATGCATTTATGTTGTTTGGGTTCAGTCTCAGTACTTGTTCTGTTCTGGCCTGAGCGGTTGCTGTCTTATTTTGATAATGTTTATGTTTAATAAATATACTTTTAATGAAACTTGAAAGCTTTGCATTTCTTGAAGGTACAAGAGAGAAACAAGTTTCAGTTAAATACTGCAAAGAAAATCGTGAAAAATCAAGTTTTAAAAATTTTTTTTTTAGTAATTTAAGACAATCAGCACGCTAAAAAAAAAACTTTTTAAAAGATAAAAAATCAAGCACTTTTTACAAAACCACAATAAAATATTTAAAAAAAAAAAAAACTTAAATGGCTTTTAAAATATGAAAATAAAAAATAAGCATCTTTAAGCACTTTTCAAAAATGCTAGGCACTCTGTTATGTTAGAAAACAAAGGTAGATTTCATCACATACCTTGCTTATATATATTAGATAATTGTTTTTCAAATTTAAAAAGCTAAATTATTTTCTACAAATGCCTCTAGTCAGACAATGAACAAAATAATTAAACAAATTTTTATGAATAGATGCATTGTAAATAAGGGAACGTTATTTGAGTGATAGCTCATATGCTTTTGCAATTATTGTTACTCATAAAAAAATTTTACTTAAGGAATACAATTTTTATTAAGAAAATAAATAGTAAAAAGTTACAGCTAATCTTTTTTTCTTTTTCTTAATTTCATTATTTTTTCTTCTTGTCTTCTTTTTTTCTTCTCTTCATTTATTTTATAAATTATTTTTAATAATTCACAGAAGAAATTAGTTTATGTTTAGAAAACAATATTATTTTTGTTGAAGTTTAACATAATATAAAGGCTTTTTCAGAGTAGCTGAATAACCAAACTGCCAGACATTAATAAATATAGTAATAAAATTTTGAGAAAGTAATTTTGAATAGATTTAAAGAGAAATATTAAATGTGCAACATAAAGTTAGTTTATAATCCAAGGTTTAGGTTATTATTCAGGGATAAAATTTTTATCCAAGAATGAAATTATTATTAAGGAATGATGTAATTGTTTAATGGTTTGTTAAATTAGGATATCATCAAGTGTTATAAATCCCGCTGATAACAACAGAATTTAAGTTTGAATCTTACTAAAGACTATTGCAGATAGTTTTAAAAGGGAAAAATTTCTCTTTCCCTTGGCACCAAGCCAGCTGAAGTTCTCTGCCACAGAATTGCTCAGTAGTTTCACCAACGTTCTCTTTACGGTGGCATCCACGGTTCCACCACCACAAGTAGATAGTCTTTTGATCTAACAAATAAATTCAAATTAGTTGAAACACTTAAAACAACTCAAATACCATCAATTTACTATTAAACCACATACCAAAATTTCTTGAGTCTTAGAATCTGCTAACTCCTTTTCTACTTGATCAATATCTTCCATTGAAGATATTGGAAGAATAAAATTTAATTCTTCTTCAGAATTATTCTGTACCACAGCATTAGCTAGAAGGAAAAAAAATTACTTTTAAAATTTATTATCACAGTCAATAAATGCTGAAATATGAAAAAAAAGGCTGCACTAAAAGGAGGGAAGAAAGGGACAATTATCCTGGGCCCGGAACTTTTGAGAGCTTCTTTTGGTATTCCTTTCAAGAAGTGAAATGTATTTTAATATATTTTTTTAATATCCAAGGATCTTTTTTTTTTAATCTGTCTCTGTGCGCAGCTTTCAAGGAACACAAAGTTTATGAGAAATAAATACTAGAATAAAGTGCTTTTCTTTTTTAAATATCACCAGTTTTACAAGCAAATTAAGAGCTCTAGAGTAGAAGAGAAATATCAAGAGACTACTTTTATATTTTTAGATTAAAGGAAAAATTAAATAAATTAAAAATTAGATAAAATGAAAAATTTACCTCAGGAGGCTATTATGGAAAATCCCCCTTTCAAATGATGTAGAGTGGAAATCATTTATAGTACAACCTTAATATCCAGACAAAACAAAGGTCCTCGCAAACTTTATTTTTTTGCAAAAGAAACTTCATCGCAAAAGCAAAAAAAAAAAAGACTTATTCATTATTTAAACTCATTTTTATTGTTAGATACTCATACGTTTAATATCATATTTACCTCATTATAGAACAAACAAGATGGTGAAATAATAACAGAATATTTTAAGACTAATGTTCTAATTTACCGTAAACAATATTTCAATCTAAGTTATTCAGTATTATTTAAGGTAAAATCTTATTAAACCAATTAGAAGAAATGTACTGTTTATTTATTTCCTTGACATTTTGAGACCATGTAGTGCTTGCCATTTAATGCTTAGTTAATTTCTCTCATTACTATGTTTTTAAAATTTTTTTATTTTTATTTAAAACAAGTATTAGTAAAATTTTTTATAATTTTTTGCAATAAGTATGCATTTCAGATTCAATATATAATTTTTTCTTCTCTGAAAAATACAATGCAATATTTTTAAAAACATATTTTTTAATAATTTATATATTACACTTTTTGTTACTGCTTCTAAAATAAAAATTATTTTAGCATCCTATTTCTTTTTTTACTTCATGTATAATTTTTATGATGTTATTTGTCACTGATTTCATCTATCATTTTTTTGTAATTATTAAATATTGTACGCTTTTTTTCTATTGGGAAAGTTAAAAATAAATAAAATTTTTATTTCCCATACAAGAGTTTCCACACATTTGTCAAAATCTTATAGTAAAAAATAGGAAGTGTGAAATTACCTATCTCATTAGAATTTTAATGTTTTTTTTTTTATCCAAACGTTTTATTTGATTTACATACAAGTTTAACAGGATGTTTATTACTACCATAGTAGTTTGCTTTACAAGTAAGTTTATTATTATTTTTTAATTCTTTATAACAAATTGAATGAAAAATGCCCATTCTAATATACCAGTATTTTTTCCCAAGGTTAAAAAAAAAAGTGATCTTAATTTTCATATTTTTTCTTAAATAGTTTAGCTTTTATATATAACATATAGTTTCATTAATATTTAAAACTTTTCAAGAATCAAGTTATAAATTTTGGCCTGCGGGTCATAGGTCATCTTTGTATGTTTAAACATAAAATAATTTCTTCTGAGATTATTTTTCTTGATATCATATAATTGTACATAAAAAAATTAAAAGAACAGAACCTGCAACATCTTTATATCGCTTAAGCATGCATAATTTTTGGAAGTTAAAATTTCTTTCTGAAATTTTCAGTTACACGAAACATTACCTTGTAACATGTTGTACAATGTTTCCTGATTCTGCAGAATCAGCTTTAATTTTTCATCCATCAGCATCATCTGTTTCATCAGAACCTGATTGTCTAAAAAAATACAAAAAAATCAATGTTGAAAGTATTACGAGTCCTCAATATAAAACAATTAATTATCAACTTACTAGTGGTGGGTGAGGATGATCCTGATAAATCGTCACTGAGAACAGGAGATGTATCATCATCTAGAAAAATAACAAGTACTATAAGTCTTAATATTAATACAGCTATAAACAATTTGAGCCAATAAGGTACATTAATTTACCGGCAGGTATGTTATGAAATGTAAGATCTGGCGTCTCATCGTTGGCAGCAATAACTACACTGCCTTCTGGCAACTGTTTTTCCTTGGGCAGACATTCAAGGAAGAAATCTACAGGAACAATAGGGGCTACTATACCTGTAGATTCTGAAAATGTCAGCGAATTGCTGAAAAATGGAGGCACGGGCACATCTTCATCCGATGAGGATCCAATGTTCAGTTTTTTGGCAATTTTCCGTCTTTTTCCTTTGCCTTTCTCAGCATCGGACTCCAAATCGGACCTCTCTTCTGCTTTAGAGAGGTCTTTCCTTGCATCTTCGTATGTTTCTGCAAAAATTTAATACATTTGAAAATGTTAGCAAGAAAGAATCTTTCAGAAGGAAAAATTAAATTTAATTAAACTAGAAAAAACAACCTACAATAGCTTTGAGGTCAAAATATAGCACTTAAACTTTTGACAAATGTTTCACAAGTAACTCTATATTAATTAACAATAAGTTAGTAGCATTAAACTTAATTTTAATTCTTTATAAATATATAACATTATCATCACAACTTACATCAATTTTTTATTTATATAATAACTGAAAACGAAAAATCTTTTGTTACGCCTAATTTTTGCATCCTGTTAAAAAAAAAATTTAAAAAATCACGGAATTTATCCAAAGAAAAAAAATCTCACAAGATTTTGGCTTGGAAAGTTTTTATTTTTGTATTGACCAAAAAAAAAAATTAATAAATAATTCTTTAGATTTTTTTCTTTTATCTAGAAAAATATGATTTAATTAATGTTATGTTAAAAAAATGATAGGATTGCTAAAATTTTTATTTCAGAAAAATTTCCAGAATATAAATTTTTAATTTTAATACGTTTTTAAATATGTGTGCACATATATACATGTAATAAGCGAGATGTATCAACCTCTCTGTTATTCCGCTAGCTGTCGCTCGCTTTAACAAAACGTATTGAACTTTCTCGTAATGCACTGTAAAATTCAGAGTTAAAAAACATACAGTATTGAACACTCAGGGTAACACAGGAAAAAACCAAAGGGAAAAAAAAAGTAAGAAAAGAGCAAGGAGGTAAATAATAAAATAGTGAAGTGTACAGCACTCTGAGGTCGTACCTGAGAAGAACAAATTAATTAAATAACAAATATTATACATAATTCATCACATCCTATTTAATCATATAAAAACATTGTGTCTTAACTGGTATATGCATACCAGTTGAAATTTCATTTGGCAAAAAAAAAAAATACTTTTAGAAATAAGTTATTACCATATTCACCCAAAAGTTTTGCTTCATGGCAAATCCAATCTGCAGAAGGTTTAGATAGTTTCACAACAAGTTTCATAACCTCATACGCTTTCAAAGGCCAGACACATCCTTTTGTTGATAACCAGGTCACTGGTACAACAGCAACCTCATCAGTTAATAAAAACTTAACTATAGCAAAATTGTTCGGCATTATCTATATAAGGCAAAATTAAAAATACTTTTGAACATTTACATATTTCAGATATATACATGAATAAACTATAAAGCAATTACAATATTATTAAAAATGAAAATAACAAAATTCTAAGTTAAACATTTTTTAAATTAAAAGCTATATATACAATGATAATTCCTAACACTCAATCAATCATTTCAGTGTGTATGGAAATATTACTTTGATACAATACAGTTGGCAATTGAGAATTATGATTTTTTTTAAAACATGCAAATTGCACAAAGATAATATAATGATCACCCCTGTGGCAAAATTTTTTCCAGCTACTTGCAACAAACCTGTCTAGCACTAATATTTTTATGTAAGATAACTTCAATAGAACAAACATACATGTTAGTAATTTAGAATAACAAAAGCGTTGTGTTTCCAAAAAAACTATAATTTTTTTACTTAAACATATAATAATTTTTTATTCTAATATTATGAGTGTCATTTGCCCATTTTGTTGGAGGGAGAGGGTGTCACACAAATTATTTCCTTCTTCGCATTTTGTAAATAATCATCAAAATTTTTTTAAAAAAATGTAATCCGTTATCAATAAAAAATTTTTTTTTAAAAAAGATTGACGATGAAATCACGCGAATTGGACTCCTCAAAAAGGGGTTACTCAAATGCATAATAAATAATTGTAATATCGTATAAAAATATCAGATATAAAAACTATTGAGAAATCAATAGTTGCCAACAATTGGACAGAATCATTGCCTTAAAAGTAAATACTCAAATGGAAGATTCGAATTTTCCACATAGTATGAAATAAATAAAGATATTTAAAAACCAGGTGAAAATCAATATTAATAACTGCCAAAATATAATAGGAATCTAACATTCTGTGACAATGTCGATGTGATTCTGCCATGGGGATGACCACAATAACAAAAAATTATTAACAATTTCAGCAGCCAATATTACATATACAATATATACAAATAAAATAATGATGTATAAATATCATCAGCCCGACTAATGTATTTAAAATTTGGCTCAGCAATTTGTAAGTGGGCAAACAAAATAGAAGAATTGTATATATTTATATATATTGAACAGAATTCAACGCTAATATTAAAGGAATGATTTTGTGAGGAAAACAGGAATTCTTTGTTAAAACTTTCAATTCTACAGAGTGAAAAAATTTATGTATTTAGATTTGTCAATCTGAACAGCAAAATCTAGGAAAAAGGGGCTATTTATATTAATAAGCCTTTTAGAGAGAATAGAAAAATTAGTTCACATTAAGTGTGTTCACATGACAAAGATTAAGTATATTGTGAGAATTCACACAAGAACTAAACGATCCGCTTTTATTAGCAATAAGATAAAAAAAGTATGAAAAATAATAAATATGTATTATGAAATATAGGTAAGAAGTTGAAATCTAATTAGAATGTAATTAATATTCATAATACAAAGGAAATATGTTGTAATTATCCTTTTCTTTTAAGGCAAGGCATTTACATAAAATATGACTGACAGACACATAAAATAAAGAGGAATGATTCTGAGCCATAAATATATTGAACTGTGAAGATTTAGCAGGATATTCATAAAGATCAACACAGCTAAGAAATTTGGTGACTACAATATTTACACTACCATCTGATTTTTTAATAATATTTTTGATTAAGCAAATAGATTTATCTTTTAATAAGCATACATTATTAGGAAATGAAATCTTTAAAGAAAATTTTTCAAACAGTAACTCTTCATATTGTAAGCCATAACAATTCCTCAAAGTTATCCCATTAAAATGTTGTTTAATTAAACATATTTTATCATCATACTTAGATAGTTCTTTGGTAACCTGATTGTTCACAAAACAAATTTTTTTCTCTTCAAATCTTTTAATAACTTGCTGCAAAGGTTTTTCTGCTTTTCTTATCATGTTTTTAAACTCTTTCATATAATTTTCAAATTGAAAAGAGCTGAATTGATCTAAAGGACCAAAGTTTTTTACATCTTTAGAAAGATGGAGTAAGCAATGAATATTGTGAGACATGTGTTCTTTTCCATATAAAAATGGAAAACCTTTAACAAAACATAGCAGCCAAGAATGAGCGAAATTCATCATAGCAATATTAGAGTTAGTTATAAAAACCTTTATCGAACAATGTAATAGTAAAAAGTGCATGTACAGATCATTTCGTAAGCTGCCTTTTAAAACTATTGGCCCAGTGAAAAGCAAAAATTGTCTGTATTCCGTAGCTTTCCAGCGTTCGAAATCTCTTAACGCCCTTGGCCTTCTAACAAAATCATTACTAATACTTGAAGTAAAACTCAAAAGTTTGACAGAGATTGCATCTGACTGACTGTTTGAGAGTCGATATTTAATATCACATTTTAGCCATAATTTTATGAGCTTTTTCATAACCCCTAAACAAACAAGATGCATGTATTCAAATGGGACTTGAGATACAGGGCCAAACTTGTCAATTTTCAACAATTCAGAGTCACATTTATGATGGCTATCACCAGCAAGTCTGTTTCTGAAATCTGAATCAGTCCTTTCGACAAAATCTACTTCAGGAAAACAAACTCTCTTTTTAAAATACAATCCTTCCTGAAAACATTTGTTGCAGCTGGAATAACCAGAATGGCCTTTAATGCACAATATAAATGCTCGGGCAGGGGCATTGCAAATCATTCCTTTCAGATCTATTTTATAATGCTTCCCATTATCCACAATACCATTCTTAATTAATTTGTTCATTTCTTCGACAAACTTGTTTAAAAACAGATTTGGATTTTCCGGTTTCTGATTTGAATGGAATATACCTATGGGGAACACACAAGGTGCATTCAAGTTGTAACTTAATGATCCCAAAATTGGCCATAATTGACTACCTGAACTTTTAGCTAAAGGCAAACCATCAACGTTTACAAGTAGTTTTAGATCAGGATCTAATAAATTTTTAGAGTTTATCTTAGACAAAATAAACTTAATTCCTTCTTCAATTCCAAAATGATGGTACACACCATTAGACATATTTTCTACTCTTACACATCGAGGTGTTTGAAGCAGTGCACGGGCATCTAAAGGCAAGTCTGAACCACAAGGATATTTCTTTAAAACTTTTAACAAATTTGTGATCGTAGATTGAGGCACATTGTCAGCAATAGCCCATACTGCCAAATCATTTTTCAAATTCGATGGGTGATCTTCTTGATTATCTTCATTGGTGTTATTTAAAGTTGAATTTATTGAGGATGAACCTATTTCGATCGCGTCAGTTACATTCGAATTAAATGAAGGTAGTACACAAATAGATTTATTATTTATTTCAAGTGGTGTTGCAGGCGACGGAAATTCACAGACCAATTTTGAAGACTCAGACAGCCTAGCTACATCAGTATCATTCAATGATTCTTTAATTTTCTTGTAAACTTTAGAATGAATACGTTTTTTAATTTTGGGCATACTTGCTAATGAATGAAATGCTACACAGAATAATTTGTAAGCTAACTGACAAGGAAATTCGAATATCTAAGGGATGTCGCTAAATTTTACATGAATGTCTGACTTATATCCAAGTTCATACATTTCAGAGATATGTAAAATGCATATAAAAAAAATAAAAATGACAATATATATTGTAATTTTTATTATTGCGTCAGCTTATATATAAGCGATAGGAAGAAAACAAATATTTCAATACAAAAACTCTTACTTACTTCAAAAATAAATGATTTTTATATCAAAAAAAGATTGTAAAATGAAAAGAAATCGAACGCTTAAACTGAATTCTGCGGGGTTTCGTATTCGGAATCAGGTTTCAGTTTTTGCTGAGTACGGTTAGAGTTATAATTATCTAAGTATATTTAAAAATTCAAAATTCCGTTTTAATTCAGAATAAAAAATCTGCATCAGAAAAAGAAAATTATATCAGAGTTTAGAATTGTAAATAAAAGAATATCAATATCCAAAAACTGAAATCTCTGAGATATCGAAAACTGGATCTGCGTCAGCTATTGAGTACCATTTGAAACGTCTCTTAGGCATTCTACAGACATCCAGTGATCCATGTCTTAAACTTATCTATATCAAATATCCGAAAGATATCCAAAATGTCCATATCTAGGACTTAGATATGCCTGGATATCTCTATAATATCCAAATTACCCTATCCTCCAGATATCCAAAAATGACATCTCAGAGATGTCTAAAATATCCAACTCCTGGACTTAGATGTATTTAGATATCTGTAGGAAGTCTGGAACATATCCGAATATCCACTGGATATTTGGATAAGTAACAGACGTGTTTGGATATCCCTGGGATATTTGTGGCTGTGTGGGAGTATATACCTCTGATGATAAAGTTAGCA